AAACTAAAGAAAATTCCAAACTTAACCCTTTATTTAATCTACAGGGATAGGTTGTTCTAATTCCAGTGCCCCTATCTAAGGATATTTCATCTAGTTCTTATTTTAGTGCTGTTTAATTATTGCTTGCCCTGATTACAATGTGTCCAAGTACACACTGCCAGGCCCAGGAATCAAACTCATAATTACTATGTCACTAGGCTCTTCTCTGGAGAGCACTTGCAGCCTTAAACCTAAACTGCCTGCTGATGAATGTTGTTGATGCTTTTCATTCTTGACTCCACTCGCTGAAGCAATAGTTTGCATCTAAATAGTATAAGTAATAATAACTCCTTATCCCAGAAACTGGAGAAATATTGTTTGCTATAGGAAGACAGGACAAAAATTCTGCTCTTCTTTTGTACTTGTAAAAGCCACAATAATCACCAACACTATCGATGAAGTTATTTGTGTTAAAATGAAATAACATTAAAAATGTCAGTGTGTCTACTTGGTCGATGCGAGACATTGCGAGAATTGAAAAAAAAAGCCAAACAAAAAAAAAAAAAATAATAAGCAATGTTTTAAATGTCAACAGGGTTTTCATTTTGTTAGACTGCTTTCGATTAATGGATAAGGTTGAATAAAAAAAAATAGAGAGAACATTGAAGAACGAGTGACAAGTGAATGCAAAATGGTGCTTTTCATTGGAATATCAATATAAATGTTAAAGAGTCCACCTTCATAAAACAGGAACCAGAAATTGACGCAACCATATGCTATTGTAAGTAAGTCTCTAAAAAAAAGTTACATTTGCGTAGGTACCTCAACTAAAAGAAAAAAAAAGGAATATCAAAATTTGAAAATGTATTTTAAAAATGAAAAATCTTTCTTAAAGCTTTTATTTTAGTATTAATCCCAAGCTAGTAGATTAAATTTAATATTTTTAAGAAGCAAAATACTTTGCTGTATTTCAAACCAAATTTAAATTGATTACAATGATTTTTTTTAAATCGTTAAAATCAAGAATATTGAAAAACTGTCAACAGTTTTCTTTATCAAAAAACCTTTCAAAAATAAAATATACTTTTCTGAAACTTTATTTGAAGATTAACTGATTTAAAGTTTAATTAATCTGAATTAAATACTACTTACTTTGAGTTTAAAATATTACAGAAAAGCATTTTTAACAGTGAGGTGGGTGTTTTTATAGATTTGTAGCAGACAGTGGGGTGATGAGTATGTATTGTAGATGAATACATGTGAGTTAAAATTTTCTGCTAGCCAGTCCAACTACATGAGAAAGTTGGACTTTAATTAAGTCCAAAGAAAACAAGGAAAAACAAACAAGACCGATAACTATATACAAACAAATATATATGTATTAACAACAAGTACAAGTTACAAGCACATGGACAGTTACATTGAGTGCGTGTGGTGAATATTATGTGTGTATGTTGTGGTGAGTGTTCGTACGTATGTGTATTGGTCTTAGCGTGTTCCCAGACTTTGGGAAACGCTGTATCTGCGAGAACTCACATATTGGTGTTAGCTGAAATGAGAGAAGAATTAGCACCTCACCTCCAAGCAAGGTAACGGCCCAAGGCCTGAGGGGAAAAGAGAGATCAAGGTGAAGGGTCAACCAGTATTTATAGCCAGGGAAGAGAGACCCCTGGTGAAGAGTTTACAAGCTGAGGAGGAGCTAACTCCGACAGATTTATTGATAGCCTATTGTTTGGCATTTTTAAGTAAAGAGCACATAAAATTGCTCGGTGAATACAACGTGAACACCTTTTTTATATAATTTTTTAACTACCCAATAACCTTTGAAATTTCAAAAAATATTGTAAGTAATCTAATATTTTATTGAATTTTAAGTACTTTGGTTTTATAGTCTTACTTATGAAGATGATTGTTGAGGAAATTACCAATAAATTTTAAATTTACTACAGTTACTGCTCTTATTTTCTGATTATGTCATGAAAAGATAACTGTATTTACAAAAATTTCCCCGCAAATGAGTGACATCTGTTGCAATCAGACATGTCACTCCGTTACAGAGAGAAGAAGTGATTTCTATGGGCTATAGCGACAGAGCAGGCAGGTGAGAACCAAGGAGATGAGTATGATTTAACTTGGTATTTTCTTGCTGTGATGAAAGCCTCGCTGCCAGCTTTTACCCTGGAGGAAACCTCAGATGCACATTTTTGTATCGAATGATTTAAAACCACATTCGAAGGGACATCACGAAGGAAGTCACAGAATGAGTCCCTGTCTGTGCGTTTATAACAGAAAGATGTTCTGTTAGTAGGAGGTTCATGGCTGGAGCAGGAGTAAAAGGAGATGTTAACAGACACCACTGCGTGATCAGAGTTGCCAAGAGGGCAAAGCTGCATAGCGCGACAAGAATCAGGGATGGAGGTAAAACAAACAAAGATCGAGAAGGGGGGCATTACCATCCGGGTTACTGGGGAAACGCTTTGGAAAGTCAACTAGTTGCGTGAGGGATTGAGCGATTGCAAAGTTAAGGGTTTGGATGCCAGTGAGGTCAGTTACAGAGTGTTTAAGCCACATGATATGATGGGCGCTAAGTCACCAAACACGAATATGTTTGCAAATAGATGTAGAGAGATGGCTTTATCTATATTATCAGAAATGTTATCGATTACACAAAAGTCTTAAGAGAGGAAGCGGTAGAGATAGCTTACTGAATTGAGGAGAGATAGACAGAGAGATATATACGAATGGTCTGGAGATTGCAAAGAGAGTTCTCTAGCCAGCGGGAGATGATTGCAGACTGTTATATTCCGCGCTAAGGGAATAAATACTTAACACCAGGTGAATAATAGAAGAAAGGTTTATTGTACACAACCAGTACAATATGAAATTCGGTACAGTTATACACACAGGTCAATCTAGTAGTGAGTGCCACTAACTGGAAGGTTGGACGTGCTTGCGTCGTCTCACTCACTCATCCTTCCTGAGTCTCTCGTAGACGGTTGACTTTATAGGTACTTACTACCTATAGTGTAATCATTCATGGGGGTGACTGGTTATACCATTACATCACAAACATAAACTCACATGTGGATTTTAGAGTCCTTTCTAAGATAGCCAGGAATCGAGAAATCAGAGGAAGGGATTAACGAGTTAAGATTAGTCTTGCAGAGAACTAGTATATCAGGAGACTTCTCAAAGAGGAACGATTCTACACTGCAGAAATTGGTACAAATACCACGGATGTTGGAAAAGGAAATTTTAAAGGGTTTAGGTGATATTTTTGAGCTGGTTTAGGCTTATATTTTTAATTATTTATGATCATGTTGAGTTACGTTGGTAAGGAAAAGGCCTAAAGCAATAGAAGCAGTTGGTCATCAAATTGGCATGAGCGGAAAGAAATTGGTGCAGACTGCAACATAATGTGGCCTCGGGGTTGCCCACCGGAAGTGAATGCAGGGACACCAGTCCGTGCGCAACATGGCACTGCAAGAACCCCGATATTCTACAACTGTTGATCATTGTAGCTCCCCAAGACGCTACGCAAGAGTTCACGTTTCTAACTACCAGTTGGAAGCAGCAAGCAGAAAACTGCCAGACAGAGCTACAACCCTCACACATCACAAGAGATTCACGACAGCACTACCAGTAAGGCCAGAGAAAACGAAAAGGATCCGGGAACCTTTTCCTAAACAGGAAACAAGGGACTACTCCTGCTCAAAAGAAGGGGAGAGTATTAAACAGGTCGATAGGAAAATCTATCTACTACTATTAAAACAAAAAAAAACAAACAACGGGCTTAGAGACACAACTGGAGAGCCAAGCTGGGCTGGGAGCCACGGCGCAAGCTGTGTATATATAAATCGCACGTGAGCTAGAGGTCTAAAAGTCGCATTGGGAAGAGATGAGGTGCTTGAGCCCATATGGATTGTTATAGGTGGATAGAGGGGAAACATAGAAGTCGGAGAGGCTATAGTGAGCCACGAGTAAAAAAAAATAACGTCCAATGCTTGTATGAACCCGAAAGATCGTCACAATGCAAGTCCCTACGTCCGAACGAGGTAGGAGAAAGGGACAGTACTAAAATAGCCTTGTGCCAACATTCACTTCTTCTAGAACAGATCACGCCAACGTCTGTGAGCCACCAGTGAAAAAATAACGTCCAATGCGTCTATGAATCCGAAAAATCGCGAAAGACATAATATTCAAAGTTTTCAAAGAAGAAAAAAGAGGGTAAAATAAATTCAATTCAAAAAAACAAAATAAAAAAGGAAGGAAACGTTAGTAATGAGAAAAAGAGACAGGGTGAGAGAGAGAGGAGAGAGGGAGAGGGACAGGGAGAAAATAAAATATGGTTTATATATTTTATTTTTATATCTGTCGGGACTCACTACAAAAGCACCACTGTTTGAAATAATAGTCTGGAAGTAAACTTATCTGGAAGTGAACTTGGATCAAAGTTCAAAGACCGTTAAATTATGAATAGGTGCTTATTTTAACTGTTTGGTTGAAGGAAGAAATCCTTCTGAAGTTTTTATTCTTTGAATAAGAAAAGAGAGGTTACTTAAATATAATATTCTTTAGAATACTGAAAAAGGGGCAAAGAACTGTAAAAAAATTCCTGAAGAGATAGAGTCTGGATGCCAGGGTTTTGTCAGTGAAACAGGGATAGGCGATTAAGATAACGTTGTAAGAGAATCTAGTTTGGAACTTAAGTATATCAGCGACCATCTTTTGGTTTTCGGGGAAAGAAGTGGGTTGGGGAATTTTATCCGGGTTTTTTTTTTTTTTTATTTTAATGACGCCATTTATCATAGGAGTAACTGCAAATTATAAGACATTTTAGGAAGTGTGGACTGGGGATTGTTTAGAGAAAAATTGTGAAAGTGAAGTTTTTGATTGTCGAAACAGAAAAGAAAGAAAAGAGAGTGGTAAAGAAATTGAAAACAGAGAAACGGGATTAAAACACGAAACAAAGAAAATATGGGAATAAATAAAGAAAGCATATGAAAAATGAAAAAAAAAACGAAAGAAAGGGAGGAAGAAGAAAATATGTAAGAATAAAGAAAGAAGGAATATGGAAAGTAAAAAAGAAAGAAAGAAAATGGAGTGAAAGAAAGAAAGATGGAAAGTAAGAAGAAAGAAAATGGAGTGAAAGACAAAAAAGAAAGAAGAAAACATGGGAATAAAGAAAGAAAGAATATGGAAAGTAAAAAAGAAAGAAAGATAATGGAGTGAAAGAAAGAAAGAAAGATGGAAAGTAGAAAGAAAGAACGATGGAAAGTAAGAAGAAAGAAAGAAAATGGAGTGAAAGACAAAAAAGAAAGAAGAAAACATGGGAATAAAGAAAGAAAAGAATATGGAAAGTAAAAAAAGAAAGAAAGATAATGGAGGAAAGAAAGAAAGAAAGATGGAAAGTAGAAAGAAAGAAAGATGGAAAGTAAGAAGAAAGAAAGAAAATGGAGTGAAAGACAAAAAAGAAAGAAGAAAACATGGGAATAAAGAAAGAAGGAATATGGAAAGTAAAAAAGAAAGAAAGATAATGGAGTGAAAGAAAGAAAGAAAGATGGAAAGTAGAAAGAAAGAAAGATGGAAAGTAAGAAGAAAGAAAGAAAATGGAGTGAAAGATAAAATAACAAAATAAAGAAAGAAGAAAATATGTGAAAAGAAAGAATAATGAAAGTAAAAAAGAAAGGAAGAAAGAAGAAATTATGGGAATAACGAAAGGAGGAATATGGAAATTAAAAAAGAAAGAAAGAAAATGGAGTGAAAGACAAAAAACGAAAGAAAGAAAATATATAAATAAAAAAAGAAAAAATGCGGAAAGTAAAAATAAAAGAAATAAAGGCAGGAAGAAAAAAAGAAAGGAAGAAGAAAACATGGAAATAAAGAAACAAGGAATATGGAAAGTAAAAAGAAAGAAAGAAAATGGAGTGAAAGACGAAAGAAAGAAGAAAATATGCGAATAAAAAAAGAAAGTATATGGAAAGTACAAAAAATGTAAGGAGAGAAGGAAGAAAGAAAGAAGAAAATATGAAAAGAAAGAAATAAGGAATAAAGAAAGAAAGAAAGAAAGAAAGAAAGAAAGAAAGAAAGAATATGGAAAGAAAGAAAGAAAAAAGAAAGAAATAAGGAATATGGAAAGAAAGAAAGAAAGAAAGAATATGGAAAGAAAGAAAGAAGGAATATGGAAAGAAAGAAGGAATATGGAAAGAAAGAAAATATGGACATGGAAAAATGTTCTCAGGAAATGATAAAGAAAATTTTAAAAAACAAAAACGAAAATGTCAAGAACGGTCGAGAGGAAATAAGAAGCAATAAAAATGCAACGTATTTACGCAATTTCCTCCGATGCCAGCAGTCGGTGTTCAATTCCGGGTTTAAAAAAAGGGTTAAAATTTTGAATACTTAATTTCCGAGGCAGGTAGCCTCTCCCTAATTTAAACTTTCGATATTTTGCACTGTCATCGCATTTTTTCATGAATTTTCGTTTTCAAAATACCCATTTCTAAAATGAAAATAGCTCCCCCTACGACAGAAATAATATGCAAATAAATAAGGAAAAAATAAATAAAATTCTTATTGCATAATATGCCAAGTAATATTTTTTGTCTTTAATAACTACCCAGTAATCTTAAAAATATAGGTGTCTGCCAACAGTGTCCACGTTTTACATTCATATAGGAGAATGGAGACTACCAGCGATTTGTACAGTTTGTACTTCGTTTGAAAGCGTTATAACAATAAACTTTACAAAAGGAAGTTATAATACTTACAATAACTATTGAACCTTAATAACAAAAAAAAAACTTATTGTCTTTAATCATTTCTCCCCAACCAAGGCAATAGTTAGGCAATGACACAGAGTTATGTGTATATATCACTCGGTGGAGACTTTGTTCTAGGGGGAAAATCAGGTAGAGGAACTTCAGAAGATTCAAGGGTGGATATAGAGAATATATTTTACAGAGAACTTTCACTGGCCTTCAGTAAAATTCTTATAAACATAGAAATCAATTAGAAACGTTACAAATCGTACAATATAAAAGCACAATTATTAAAGCTATATAAAGTTGGCTGACACAAGCTCATTACACACGGCATTTACTCTATTCCCCCACTAGGACGAGTTGTGACACAAGGTCTATTTTTAGGTGGGGTCCCGAGCGCGTACGCCCGGGACAGGAACAAAAATTCCCTCAGCCCCCGCAACCGTCGGTTGAGCTGGCCTCAGTGTGAGCACCGATCCCTCCCTCTGGTGCAATGGGAGGGCGCGGCTGGGCACCTCTCAGTATTATTTTCTCAGTTTCCCCTCTGTCCTTTGACAGAGAAGCCCCTGAGCGCACTCTGTCCAAGGACAGAGACGCAAATGACAGATGATAAGTAGACGCGTAACTACTCAAAAAGAGTAAGGTACACGCTAATTACACACGCAGCATGAATGAAATAGCACTCAGGTATAATTTCTCACCAGGCCATCATTGGAACGGATCCTGGTCGTGAAATGAGGAGTGGTTATATCCACACATATACAGGTGTACACACAGTTGCTTCTCTGTTTTTGGGCAGAGTAAAACTCAGTTGTGTCTCTGTTCGCGGACAGAGACGCAGCTGGGAGAGGGGAACACTGAGAGGTGCCCGGTCCCGGGGGACAGCTCCCCACTCATTGCACTAGAAAGGGGAGATCGGTAGTAATATCGATGCCAGCGCAAACGACGGTTTCTGGGTGAAACAATTATTTACCCTAACCCAGGTATATGCGCTCGGGTACCTCACGCTAAACCCGACCTTGTGCCACATCACGTCAACGTGGGGAAACAGGTAAATATATACAGGTGTGCGTGCCCGAGCGCTCACACAAAGAAGAAAAAAAAAAGATCAATCTCACACCAATAAAAACATAAAACTTATAAATTATTTTTTCTAACTTAATATAAAAATAACGACAACGAGAAAATCCGCAGATAATTGGTGATATCTCCTGACGAGTGGGCCAAATGATTACACAAAGGTTCGTTTACGAAACCCTGTAGTAGAGGTACTGAATATAACGATATAATTTCCCTCCCCATTTCTTGTTTTCCTGAAAGCTATAATCTGTGATGCCAGGTTTTGAATTCAAAGTTGTCCTTCTCCTAGACCAGTTGACATCCAAGGCTATAGAACCCAATCTGTTCTGCTATTTACCCATAGCTGGGAGGAGAAGAGGATCCATACCTTTCCCAAGATATATATATATATATATATATATATATATATATATATAAAAGCGATTCTCCCGTCGGGTTCGACGTATGAGGGTCAAGCAGATCAGTTTCCAGGAAAGGGGTGTTTGATATGATAAATGCACATGTTCATCCACAGAAGATTTCTAGCATAGTTGGTGTATCTCTACGGACAGTTTTAATGTGAAGAAGAGAATGACTATGAAGGAAACTATTCAGAGAAAGTCTGGAAATGACGGAATCAACAAAAAGCGCCATAATGATTTCATCAATACTTTCAAATCTAAAATCTCAAAAGACCCAAAGAAATCCATGAGAAAATTAGCAACTGAACTTAGGGTGGATGCTAAGACTATCAGAACAGCAGTGAAAGATGACTTAAAACCTAAATCCTACACAAGAACAGGACATTTGCTGACACGACCCATGAAGGCTAGAAGACTGGAAAGATGCACAAAAGTTCTTACTACCGATCTCCCCCACCTCCCTAGTGCAATGAGTGGAGTACTGACATGGGCAGCTGTCCCCCGGGACCGTGTACCTCTCAGTATTCCCCTCCCCCAGCTGCGTCTCCGTCCGCGAACAGAGACACAAGTCCACTGTGAAAATTTTCTCAGACAAAAAGATCTTTACTGTTGATGATCTTCCGAAAGGCAGATACATTGCACAATCAAAAGCTCATGTCAAGGTCACTTTCAGAACGAAGCATCCAGATCACGTTATAGTCTTCGGGGTTTGTCGCCTCCGATGTGTAAAATATAGCTATTAAATTTTACAAACCTGAAATGTATTACCATGGCTCAAAACCAACTACCCAGAAGGAAACTATGTATGGACTGAGGGTGGGGCTCCTGACCATACAGTCAAAAATGTACAGAATTTCTGCAAATCCAATTAAGACGATTTTTGGCACCCACATTTCTGGTCCTCTTCCAGCCCAGATCTCAACCTTCTAGATTATACTGTTTGGAGCGTTCTAGAACATGCTACTCATAGAACCTCTCATCGAAACATTAACTCTCTTAAGGATACTATCAAAAAAGAATGAGACAAGATATCCTCTTTTTTTTTTTGTTTGAAGAAGAGTTGTAGAAGTTTCAGTAGGCGTATCGGGGCAGTAATTGAGAAACAATAAAATGTTTCTTTCATTTTGCCTCTGTATGTTGGAACCATTTGTATTTCTTTAAATAAACTAATTAAATCAACTAAAGGCTTTTTATTTCAATACCCAAATTATGCAAGTTTTGCCTTCTCACCCTGAATATATATATATATATATATATATATATATATATATATATATATATATATATATCTATCTATATATATATATATATATATATATATATATATATATATATATATATATATATATATATATATATATATCCAACCTCTATCTATCTATCTATCTATCTATATATATATATATATATATATATATATATATATATATATATATATGAATGGTGGTACTGTTGGAAAAACCTTGGGTATGTAGGCTTGTAGTAGAACAAACCAGTACCCAAGGAAAATGAGGATAAAAAAAGAAAGAACTAAGAACATGAAATTGAGGCAAAAACAATCGTCCAGAGTTCAAGCTCAGAGTCCAAATAAAAAAAAACCTCCAAAACGAGTAAAATCAACTACGGAAAGTGCTCAATACACGAAGTAGAGCAAACCTAATATAAACCTAAAAGAGCCAGGCAAACCTACCGAGGTTTCACCTAAACGGATCGTCATGGGAAATGCTGGCCCAGTATTTCTCTAGGTAGGTTTGCCTGGCTCTTTAGGTTTTATATATATATATATATATATATATATATATATATTGCCATCCACAGAAACCTGGCTGAATTGGCGTCAGTCGGAGATTCTACCCCTAAGCCGTTGGCGCACGGCAAGGATGAAGGCGAATTTAAGCGTATTTATTTTTAGATAAACACACAGTAACTGAAAGAACTCGATTCGTTTTACTGAAGATTCTTGCATTATTAGCAGTAATAGTCACTGTTTACAAACTCACAATTCCTCCACGGAGAGCTCAACCGAAATAAATGTTTCAGGTGCACATATACTGTCATCCACAGACAGACTTTTTCGCTGTATCACAGCTCATCAGTGTGGGTAAACGTTCAGTCGCCTCTAGCTAGGATCAAAACCCGGCTGAATTTTATATATATATATATATATACACGGGACAATTATTTATATCTCGTTCCTAGTACTTATTTCAATATTTCTTGCTCTTAAGAGGATTAGAGCATTCCCTTCTGGTTACTAATACAATTTTAATTTGGTAACCGTTACGCCACCGTTAGCCTCCTAGCAAAAGGATCGGCATGCTGTAGCTTGTCATTTGGCCAACATTCCATGCCATGGTTTTAACTTTACTTCTCAATGAATGCTCAATAAATGTGGCTTTGTGCCAGTCAGTATAAAAGTCTAAACCTCAAGTGCAACTGGCCTCTGATCTTCAACTGAGAGTCACTCCCATATCTTCAACAAATGTCTTTGGGGAACCGAGTGTTGAACTCAATTATGCTGAGTTATTTATTAGAATCAATTCCTCGCCAAGAATTGGTCAATTTAGATTGAGGAAATTACGGAATAAATAATCAAGACAATTGTAGGATGATTTCAAACCGTAAATGATTCATTAGCAACAACACTTTAATGGAAATATGATATAAATATATTAAACGCCCGCTATTGAAAACAAAGGTTAAATCAACAGACTTGCAATAAAACCAATCCCTCAAATACGCTTTTAATAAAATTTGTACACTGCGTATTGATCTGCAGTCAGAAAAATAAGCCACAAGTTCGATTTTTACTGAAGAATCTGAAATTTTAATTGCCTAATCTTGTAAATGCAGCCTGAACTTTCAGGGTATTAAAAAATAATTTATCTAGTTTTTATTATAGCCTCTGGCAACAAAGTCCAGCTCCAAGCCCGAGAAGAGGCGAAGGCAGACCACTGGTGCCTCACTGACCACCTTCTTCGGGTAGATAGGACTCGTCATCCCGGGAAGGCATGCTATCAAGGGAAAAAAAACCCGCTTACTTACGGTTATATTCAAATACGGAAAAGGCTATAGAAGTAAATCCAGACAGAAAATCCGGAGCGGAGCTCCAAAGGGGATTAGTGACAACCTTCCGACAACTCCTGCAGCCACACTGACCCCAAATGCCTTTTCCTTTGGATCTTGGCGGTACAGACAAGAAGATACCGTGTTGTTCTGGGCCGCACACGATCTCCATATACCATTGTAGCAGAAAAAAACAATTTACAAATATATAACACTTTTCTGCCGGACGGACTTTGGTTAATTACTGCATCTGGCCGTTAAATGGTTACTCTGGTCTAAACCGTTGCTCTGCCCACGTTGTGTTGAGTGATTACAGAACTGGCAAAGATCAGACTGTCGTTAGCAATTGCAATGTTGGTTCGATCTCGGCAAAGGTATGTCACAAAGGAAATTTTTAAAAAAATGTTCTTTCAGGCTAAATAAAGAAATTTCTTCAGGGTTTATTTCTATATGGTTTATATCGTTCTTTGTACAGAAATATTAGTTCTTGATACAAAAATATTAACCCTTGCCACTTTGAATTCTATCTTGACACTTTGCTCAGTTTAGCCAAGTCCGGAACAAGGCCCAAGTTGGAGGTTATCTCTGGCATCAAATCACGTAGAATTCAGCAGAGCGGTTGCCTCTCGTTTGAAACTACTGTCTCTCGAACTTTTGGCAGGGTCCCTTCAGTATTCTGCTTACATTAAGTTCCATCCCCAAACTGGCGTTCAGGTTGACATAGTTAGGGGCCTCGGTGTTTCCTTTATCTTACGACAAGAGCCTCTCTGTTGGGTCTGATTTGGGTCTTTATATAAAGTAATTCTTCTTGTTTTGTGTACAATTTCCCGATCCTGCCTGTCAAAAATTGCCAAATTTCGATCGCTCGATTTGTGTTTTCATAACTAGCCCACTTTAGGCAGGTGTCATTAATCAGCTTGTTAGCAAAGTCCAAATTATTGTTTATAAACATAAACATATACGTTACTAGCAGTAGAGCCCGGCGTTGCCCGGGGATGTAACAGTAAGAGATAGATCAAGTATCGACCATTATAAAGACTGAAAAATAAAATTGACAAAGATTATTGTTTAAGGTTGACGGACACGCATGTCTTAATTGTTTTCAATCGTTATGAGTCTACCGATTGAATAGAATTTTATTATAAACAATTGTCTTGTAAATGGTATTTTTAAAGCATTCTGAATGTAAAAATAAAGAAAGAAGTGTGCAAGACAATAAGAAACACTACCTGCCAAAAAAAAGTGAAGTTTTGTTGAAATCGGTTGAAAAATGTAGGAAATCCGATCCAATATATAAACGGACAGACACACACACAACCTAGGTTTTATAATAAGTATGATTTTTATAGATATAATTTATTTAAGTAAATCCTCTGTTATTTTTTTTTTTAAATTAAACAGTATTAATTACATTTACCAGATGCTTCTTTGTGTCTGAATGTTTAACAGCACATCAGATGAAATGATGGTTTCCATTGGGGTTACAGGTTCGATTCCTGTCGGAGAAGCACATATTTTCTACGAAATATCTCGAACATTCAAGCCGGTAAATGCAATTAATACTGTTTAATTAAAAAAAAAAAAAAAACAGAGCATTTGTCTATATTTTTGAGATGATGTATTATGTACACTATTTACATTATTCGAACTATTGTCCTCATCTTTGTCGCCATATTTATTACAACGTTTCGGCCGTTGTACGCTCCGGCCTTCTTCAGGTGGTTGGACTGTCGAACTGAACTTATTACTACCAGTAATAAGGAGTGCCAGAGAAAAGCGATAATAACAACAAACATTGCAATATGAGCTCTAGTAAAAACACACAATGAAAACAGCACAAATTTCAATATGAGCGGTGGTAAATAATGGTTGCTGAAGACATTATGTTTATAATACCCAGAAATTTATACACAGATGTCCTCAAGGACACATGGCACAGTGGAGTTACATTCAGTGACAGGACCCAAAGAGTGTGAGTTCAATACCTAGTTAAGGCGGCGGAGAACTTGGAGAGGGAAATTAACAGGAGATAACTGATAACTGACATTCATTAAAACATGGCACGTGGAACTAGAACAGTCTACCCCAGTGAGCGAAATAAAGGGTTCAGTTCGACAGTCCAACCACCTGAAGAAGGCCGGAGCGTACAACGGCTGATAAAGATGAGGACAATAGTCCGAATAATGTCAATAGTGAACAGAGCATTTGCTTCAATATATTATATCTATAAAAATGACGGATAAACGGAAATATATTAAAATAATTGTCAGACTTAATCCCTTTCATTATATATATATATATATATATATGTGTGTGTGTGTGTGTGTGTGTGTGTT